CAGGCCTAGAACTACCTCCAACCTTCCTGGCTAATGGGCTTCTACTGCTGATTTTTTTTCTTTTTCTCTTTTTTTTTAGTACTAGGGTTGGAACTCAGGGCTTTGTGCTTCCTCCTGACCTCTGCCTCCTGAGTAGCTAGAATTACAGGCTTGAGCCACTGTGCCCAGCTATTGCTGGTTTTCTGTTTAACATGACTGTGGTAGCCTGCAGGAAGCAGGGGTGGTGAAGGATAGCAAGTGGTGTCCATGTGCACAGGCTGTGAGTAAACTTAGGATCTATAGCTTCCTGTACAGGTTTTTAGCATAGCCCCGTATTTTCAGCCCCATGCCTTACTCTTGCCTTTGTTTTTATGAGTAAGACAAAGAGAATTAGGTCTCTTATATTTCCTTTACCTATTTAGTAGCAGCATATAAAGAAGTGTGGTCAGTTAGGTTTATTTAACTGGAAGGGTAGCTCAGTAAGCATTGTATTGAAGCTTTGTTGAATTGACTTAAGATTCCTGGAGCGCTTGAAGCAGCTACTAAACTGTCAATTAACAGATGCTTACTAACTACTGATTTATTTTGTGTATTATTGAATCCTGGACTGTTAGATATCCACTTTGATTTTTCCTCTATAGTCTTTTTATTGCTTAAGTAACCTCTTTATTTTAATCTTTATATTGCACAGGTCAAGTATGCTATTACAAGATATCATTTTAGCCCTTTTTGGGGGGCCAATAACCATTTTAGAATGGTTTTAGATTTACAGAAAATTTACAAAGATGACACAGAATGTTCTCATATACCCTATGCCCAATTTTCCTTGTTATCTTACATTAGCAAGGTACATTTGTAACAATTAATGATACATTATTATTAATTGAACTTCATACTTCATTCCAGTCTTCTTAGTGTGTACCTTCTCTCCTACTCTTCCAGAATCCCATCCAGGATCCCACATTTCATTTCATTATGGAATTTCTTTTGGTGACTTTTGGCTGGGACAGTTTTCAGACTTTCCTTGTTTTTGATGACTGACAGTTGTAGAGGGGAACTGATTGGGTATAGAATGCCCCTTACCTGGGATTTGTTTGATGTTTTGCTCACCTTTATGGGTTTTGGGGAGAAAGATCACAGAGATAAAGTACCACTTTTACATTATAGCAAGGGTATTGCAAGCCTGCAGTATAATTCTCATGCAAACCACTTGCAGTGAGCATGGACTCCAGCTTAAGGGCATGGTCCCGAAAAGACTGCCTTTACTTCAATTGGCAGTCATGAATTTGGGGTTCCATAGGCCACCCATACTTCTCATCAGTTGGCTACAAATTCAGGGGTTCCCCTAAGCCTGCAGTGATATTTCACTAGAACAACTCACAGAACCCAGTGAAGAAGTACATTTTTGGTAATAACTTACTATGGTTTGGGTCTTCGTTGTCTCTCAAAGACAAGCCAGGTCACCAGCCTGTGGAACCACTGGCAGGTAGTGGCACCTTTATGAGGTGGGACCTAGTGGTTGGCAGTTAGGTCATTGTGGATATACCCTTGAGGGGGACATTGGGATCCTAGCTGCTGATTTATTTTGTACATCATTGTAGATGAAATAGCTGTACACCATATCGTGCATCATCAGCTAGGGAGCTTTTCTGAGCTTTGGTGTCCAGAGTTCATACTGAGTTTTCATTATTTCGGCATGATTGATTGACTCACCATCTATATGATAGAACTCAATCTCCAGTGCCCTAACCCTCCTTGGAAGACGATGGGCTGGGCTGATACCACTTGGCTCAAAGTCCTGAACCTTCTAATCGCATAGTTGATCTTTCTCCCATGACCAGCTACCATCCTGAGCCAGCTCAGAGGTGGCTGAGGGGTTCATGAATAATGAAGATAGTCTAATTACTTGGGAAATTCCACGGATTCAGCTTCCATCCCAGGAAGTAGGGATAAAGGTTAATCAAATTCTTTATTTCGTAGAGGTATGAACTATCAATATGACTTCATCACTACTGATGCAAACCTTAATTACCCAACTGAGGTAATTAAGGTTTTCCACTGTGAAGTTATTCTCGACTTCCACCCTTTTCATACTCTGCTCTTTGAAAGGAAATAACTCTGTGGCCTTAGGAGTGGGAAGTTATGCTCAACCTTCTTAAGGGGGAAGAATCTACATTAAAATTTGACAAAGAAGATTTATGTTTTTTGCCGTTTATCTATTTATTCCTTATTTAGTCACGTCACTATGGATGTGTGCATGTTTTATTCTTTGAGTGATAACCTAATAGTACTTTTTTACTGTTCGTGTTATGTCAGCATTCAACTCAGTTGAATGCTGTATTCCTTTGACATAAGCCCATCACTGTGCTTTGTTTTCCTTTTGTTTTGTTTAGTAATTCTTTTTTCTTAGATAATTTAAGCTCAATATTGCATTTCTGCCCCAATTCTAGAATCAGTTATTTTTCCAAGGAAAGCTGTTTTACTGGAGAATAGAATTATTCACATTGTTTTAAATGATTTTTTTTTCTTACTTCCTGACTCCACGTTTTAACTTTTTTGGGAAGTAATATTTCTAGTCAGTGCTCATTCCCATTTTGATTTAGACAGGATTACCAAGATATAAGAACTGTAAGTCAGAGTCTGCCTTTTCTCTTGCACAGGAGACAAAAACAGAGCTTTAAGTTAAAATTGCATTTTCAAGACCCCTGAGTGTTTCCATTTTGGTAACTCTCAGAATTCCTGACAGGATGGAATTATCTAATAGGAAATAGACAAACACAACTCAGGGAGCAGTAGGATGAGGCTATGGAAAACACGGGAGAAAATAAGATTTTGACTTTATGATATTTTTATCCCAGTTTTTATTTTAAAGATTTAATGTTAGAATTTCATCTCTGGGAGGCATGGGTTATTTTGTTTCTCATCAACATAGGTTGAAAAATTTGAGGGAAATAATTTTATAGTGAAATCTATTCCTACTACCTAGATTTTTCCATTAACATTTTACTCTCTCAATATCTAGTTTTCTGTCCATCCAACTATTAATCAATTTTTTTGTAAGGCAGGAGACTTTATTGAAATAGGAAAGTGTAAAGTGGGAGAGCAGAGCCCCCAGAATTAGGGGGGTGGTGTGGTCCTCAAGAGAGGGTGCCCAAAAAATGATGTGATCTGAGGTTTTTTTCTGTCCTCTCCAGGACGTTGCTTAATCTCTATGCTAATTAGGTGTGCAGAAAGCAGCATTTTGGTTGGCTGTTCCTGTAATCCATTTATTTTTTGATGCATTTAGGGTTCCCCCTAAATACTTGAGCATGAGTCTCAATGACTGAGGTTCAATATAGTATATATTTGAGATGGCTAACATGTAAAATTTGCATATATGGAAATGTGTAAATATGTATTTGCTGAGTTGGCAAATACCTGTGTGGCTAATCCAAACCATTGGGAAGACACAGAGCATTACCACAACTCCAGAAAGTACCCAGCTCTTTCCAAGTAAGTCCTGCCCTTACCTTCTCAGAGGCAATTGCTGGGCCGGTTTTTCTTCACTATGGATTAGTTTTGCCTGTTCTCAAATTTCACACAGATAAGATCATGTAATCTATACAGTTGCTAGGGTTCTTTCACAAGTTCATGAGGTTCATCTGTGTTGTTTCATGCTTTGCTCTTTTTCATCACTTTTTACTTAAGAATTCACTACAACTTTAAGATTCATTCTTCCATTGATTGACATCTGGACTGTTTCCTGTTTGGGACTATTGCAAGTAAAGATGTTCTGAACATTTTTATTTAAGTCTTGAGACAGAGGTTTCTATTTCTCTTGGGCAAATGCCTAGGAGTGGAATTGCTAAGTCTCAGAGTAGGTATCTATTTAAGGCTTTTAATGCCAGATCATTTTCCAAGTGGTTGTTCTATATTAAAGTTCCTCCAAATATGTATGAAAGTTGTAGTTACCCCACTGCCTTGTCAAATTTTGACTTTTTTTTAAAGAAAACTGCCTTTATTCTGTTAGTCGTTAAAAATTAACTGGTACAGAAAAAAGTTTAGTCAGCTGGAGAGAAGAGAAAAACCAGAGTGCTATTCATGAGAATTGGTGGCTACTCTGGGAGGGAACCTCTCTCAGTGAGAAGGAAGCATTGTGGATTAGAGCCAGACTCTGCGTCCAGGTGAGAAAGGTTCTGCCAGGTCTAATTGCCTCAGGTATGAGTGAAACCAAATTCCTCCTTATTTAGTCCATTTCTGGAGAGGGGGACCGGGATATGTGTGGCTGAAAGGGGATAAGAGGAACATATTTGATCAGGGAAATTGACAAAATGGGAATTTAAAAAATGAATTTTTCCATCTGGCTTTATTTCCAAATACACTTAAAAAAAACCCAATACACTTTCTGTGGGAATGACAAATATCAGTATTAGGAAATCCAATTATACAAAAAAATACTACATCTAGTCTGGGGTAGATATATTTATTTTTGGCAACATACATTAAGTGACACTAATTACACAGTAACTATTAGGTAAGTAACATGCCACAGAATTGTAACTCTCCCGCAGCTGCATGGACTCAGGCCTTTCTGGCTGAGTACATTTCCCAAAACCTAGATGCTATGCACCGCTAGCCATGAGACCCGTTAAGGAACAACACTCTTAAGTGGTGACTCACCAGAGGTCCTTGTGGCTGACAGGTGACAGGCAGGACATGTTAGTTATAAGGTAGTTACAGCCTAATTCACAAAAGTTACCAACTGTTTCTCTTTCTAGAAAGGAGCAAGAAGTGAAGAAATTCCTTCAACCAGCGCCTGGTGTGTCAGGTGGCAGCACAGAGTTAGGAGGCTCCTAGTGAGTCAGATGGGCTGGACATCGCAAATAATCACAGTTGGCTTCTAAGTACTGGTAACAAGATGACTTGTGATTTCTAATCTTAGGTAAATTACAGGCAAATGGAAAAGGCCAGTGATCAGACACTAAGATTAATAAACAGCACTTCAAAATCAGCCCCAGGAGGGCTGTGCTGGCAGCAAGATCTCACAAGATAAAGCACCCAGATTTTTCCTTCCCACGTCTGGTTTGCAGAGCAGCTCTGGTGGCCATTTCAAAAACCTCCCTCACGCCATCTTTGGTCTTTGCTGAACACTCCATGTACCCCAAGGCGCCAATCGTGTTTGCCATATCTCTGCCCTGGTCAGGTCGTATGGGCTTCTGCCTCTTCTTGGATAACTTCTGTCTAGTTTGCTCGTCGTCCCGAAGATCCTTCTTGTTCCCAACCAGGATGATGGGCACGTTGGGACAGAAGTGCTTGACCTCCGGGATCCATTTCTCTGGGATGTTTTCTAAACTCTCAGGGCAGTCGATGGAGAAGCAAAGCAGGATGACATCGGAGTCTGGGTAGGAGAGGGGCCTCAGGTGGGCATAATGCTCCCGCCCAGCTGTGTCCCACAGAGCCAGCTCCACCGGCGTTCCGTCCACTTCGATGCCTGCCACGTAGTTCTTAAACACCGTGGACACATACACCTTAGGGAACTGGTCCTTACTGAAAGCTGTGAGCAGGCATGTCTTGCCACAGGCTCCATCACCAACGATCACCAGTTTCTTGCGGATGGCGGCCATCTCTTCCGCCTGTCCGCGAGTTGAGTCGCAAGCTCGGAGACCAGGGCGGGCTCCTCCCAAGGCAATGGCGGGTCAAGTGGAGAACCCGGGAGGGCGGCATGGAGGAGGGGGCGGTGGGGGAAGGGGGTGGGGGCAAGGGCACGAGCCAAGATGAGAGCTTGTCAGTTATTTAGATTATAGCTGTATTGTGGTTCCCCAATCAGTGATGTTGAACACATTTTCATGTACTTCTTGGCCAATTTCACTTTTATGAAGTTTTTTTTTAAACCTTTTGTTTATTTTTAGTTGGATTTTTAAAAATTGTGATATTTCTTTATATTCTTGGTCAATGCTATCCAATAGAATTTTCTGCACTGTCTAATATGGTTAGCATGGAATGTGCCTGGGGTAAATTAGGAGTGAATTTTTTGGCAGTATTGGGGTTTGAACTCAGGGACTTGGCGCTTGCTAGGCAGGTGCGCTGACACTTGAGCCAAGTCCTCAGCCCTTTTTGCTTTAGTTATTTTGCAGATAGGGTCTCACATTTTTGCTCTGGCCAGTCTCCGACTTCAGTCCTCCTTCCTATAACTCCCTTGGTACCTCAGATCACAGGCTCTTGCCAGCATGTCTGGCATTGAGATGGGGTCTTGCTCACTTGTCCCTAGTCTGGCCTTGAATTGCGATCTTTCCAGTCTCTGCGAGCTGAGTAGCTGAGACTACAGGCGTGAGCCACTATGCCCACCAGAACTGAGTGTTTAATTGCATTTAACGTAATTAATTTACATTAAAATAGCTGCATCGGCTAACGGCTACCATATTGGGCAGTCCAGTTCTAGACACATCTTTATCAGTTTTGTGAATAGTTTCTCTCCATCTGTGGCTTGCCTATTCATTTTCTCAGTACAATCTTTTGATGAAGAAATGCTTTAAATTCTGATGAAGCCTAATCTTTCAATTTTTTCTTTTATGTTTGTGATCTATGACCCAGCTACAAAATCTTCTATTACTCTCAAGTCAAGATTGCGTCTTCTAATCGCGTTCTTATTCAAGATTGCTGTTTTGTGTATTCTGGGATCTTTATCTTTGAATTTCCATGCGCATTTTACAATTGGTCCATCAATTGTTCATTGGGATTTAGCTATGATAAAGGAAATGTTTTTATATTTTTAATTTGAGATATTTTAGTAAGAGATGTGTATGTAGAATAATATATTTTAAAACATTATGATACATACATACATGAAAATGTCACAGTAAAACTCCCTGTACTTAACTCTTAAACTCTTTTTTTTTTCTTTTATTATTCATATGTGCATACAAGGCTTGGTTCATTTCTCCCCACTGCCCCCACCCCCTCCCTTACCACCCACTCCACCCCCTCTCTCTCCCCACAACCCCCTCAATACCCAGCAGAAACTATTTTGCCCTTATTTCTAATTTTGTTGTAGAGAGAGTATAAGCAGTAATAGGAAGGAACAAGGGTTTTTGCTGGTTGAGATAAGGATAGCTATACAGGGCATTGACTCACATTGATTTCCTGTGCGTGGGTGTTACCTTCTAGGTTAATTCTTTTTGATCTCACCTTTTCTCTAGTTCCTGTTCCCCTTTTCCTATTGGCCTCATTAACTCTTAAACTCTTAAACAAACAAAAATGTCTTTGTTAAAAAATGGAGAATGGAAAGTTAAACAGGTCCTGTCTGGGGTTGGTACAGTGGGAGGGGAGGATATAAGGAAAGGATGTAGGAGGGAGAATATGGTAGAAATACTATGTACTCATGTATGAAAATGGAAAAGTGAGACCTGTTGAAACTATTCCAGAATGGGGGAAGGGATAAAGGAGAATGATGGAGGGGGTGAATTCAACCATGAAACATTATAAGAACTTGGTAAATGTCACAATGTACCCCCAGTATAACAATAATATGATAATAAAAAATGTAGAAAAAAAAAGGAAGAAAAAAAATGTGGGTAGTCTTCTGTGTTTAAGGCCAGAAGAGAAATTATTTGGTTGCTTACTTAGAAGGGATTTTTGATGTTTATTTTTCTTTTTTAATTAATTAAATTATTTTAGTAGATACATACATATTAATAGTGTAATGTGATGTTTGTATGTAAATGTTGCATAATGTTTAAATAAGGTTATCCATATTTATATCCTCAAACATTTATCATTTCTTTATGGTGAAACAGAAAATCTTTTCTTCTGGTTTTCTTTCTTTTGATGGGACTGGGGTTTGAACTCAAGGCTTCGCACTTGCAAAGCAGGTGCTGTACCACTTGACCCACACCTCCAGTCCATATTGCTCTGGTTATTTTTGGAGATGGGGTCTTGAGAATTTTTTGCCTGGGCTAGCCTCAAATGGCAATCCTCCCGTCTTAGCCTCCCAAGAAACTAGGATTAAGGAGTGAGCCACTGGTGCCTGGCTCTTCTGGTTTTGCAGAGCACGATTGTTATCTGTAGTTGCCTTGCTGTACACACTGGAACTTCTTGTTCCTTTCTAATTGTAGCTCTGTACTTGTTGGTCCACCTTTCCCCACCTTTCTTTTCCCTCTACTTTCCCCAACTTTTGGTAATCACCATTCTAAAGTCAACTTCTGTGAACTCACCTTTTTATTTTTGTTTTTGTGGTATAGGAGATTAAATCCAGGTCTTGTGAATGTTAGACAAGCCCTCTATCACTGAGCTACATCCCCAAATCAAGATAACTTTTTAAGATTCTATATGAGTGAGCTCATGTGGTAGAGTTGTCTTTTTTGTACCTGCCTAGTTTAACTTTTCATAACCATCTCTAGTTCCATCCATGTACTTGCAAATGGCAAGATTTCATTTTTAATGGCAGAGTAGTAGTCCATTTTGTGTGCATGCCACATTTTCTTCATCTGTTGATAGATAGTCAAGCTTTTTCCATTTCTTGACTATTGCGAATGAAGTGTGGATGTCTCATTGACATATTGATTTATTTCCTTTGTGTATATGCTTAGAAGTGGAATTGCTAGAGCATATGGTATTTCTACATTAAGTTTTTGAGGAACTTCATACCATTTTCCATAGTGTCTCTACTAATTTACATGCCTGCTAACAGTAAACAAAGACTCCCTTTTCCCCACATCCTCAACCATACTTGTTATTGTTTGTATTTTTGATAAGTAGCAATTCTTACTGGAGAGAGGTGATTCCATGTGTGGTTTTCATTTTCAATTCCCTGTGGGTGAGTGGTGGTGAATATTTCCCATATATCTGTTTGTCATTTGTTCATCTTCTCTTGAGAAATGTCTGTCTAGGCCCATTTTTTAAAATTAGGTTATTTGTTTACATTTTGCTATTGAGTTGTTGGAGTTCCTTATATATTCTGCTTATCAAGCCCTCGCCAAGTATTTCTTTTATTCTATAGGTTGTCTCTGACAATTGTTTCCTTTGTTGTGCCAAAATTTTATTGTGATAGACTCCCATTTGTCTTATTTTTCTCTTATTTTCTTTGCTTTGGGGGTCTTGTCCAAGAAGCCCTAACCCATTCCAGTTCCTGAAGCGATCATTTCCCCTGTGTTCTCTTCTAGTAGTATCACTTTTAGGTCTTACGTTTGAGTCTTGTACACATTTGAGTTGATTTTTGCACCTGGTGTAAGATGGGTGTCTACTTTATGGATATGGATACCTGATGGTCCCAGCACCACTTACTGAAAGGACTGTCCTTTCTCAAGTGTGCATTCTAGCATCTTTATTTAGAATCACTTGAGCAACAATTTCTTAGACAGAACCTAGAGTTGCAGATGGCTAGGACCATGAAAAGTCAAGAATCTGAGTTTCAAAAGACAGAAAAGAAATCATTTCCAAGAACTAATGATGATAAATGTGAAGAATCCTACATAAATATTTGGCTTGTGTCCTAGTGAAGGAAGGTAATTTGTGCTCTTTCTGGTCTGCAGCATCTCTAACCTATTTGCCTTGATTTTCTCAAAATTATTTTAGGAAAAGTCAAGTTGTGCAACTTTGTTCCCTTTGGTTCTTATTTTAATTCAATTTGGAAGATAAATGTACGAATTATTTTATTTAATTCCTTCATGTTGTGTAGAAGAAATAAATTTAGAGAGTTATATGATTTGTGCAAGATAATCCAGCTAGCTAACAGCAGGGTTCTGATGCTATTCCACACTTTCCAACCTCTTTACTCCACTGATAATTCCTCTATGAAGTGCCGTCACAATGGCTCACTGGTTAATAACCCCTGAGCCCATACAATGTGTGTGGCACTGTGTTATGTACAGATGATATGAATTACCACTCTGATCTTGCAGTGGTCCTTAAATTCCAGAGTACTACACAAGAGAAGACACAATTAAAAGAATAGTAAAAAGTAACATGTAATCAAGTTCAAAACTGGATAGAATTAAGGATGAAGTAGTATAGATGATTATAGAAGTAATATTGTACTCTATTTTATTGCTTATTTATTATTTAAAAAATTTTTATTATCGTGTTATTGTTGTACTGGGGTACATTGTGACATTTACAAAAGTGCTTACAGTGTATCTTGGTTAAATTCACCCCTCCATCTTTCTCCTTTATGTGCCTCATTTGAAATAAACCTGGCTGGGTTATGGCAATAGTAAATTGTGATTGAAAACATGTTGTATAAGAGAGAAATGATATAGGTTAGCTTTGTTAGCTTAAATGTATAAAACAAAAGCAACTAAAGGATACCTTAAATTCATACTTGAAGATTAATAACTGATATAATTATCAGAGAAGTTTTTGTAGAAAGAGAGGGATTTTGAGTCAGAATTTCAAGAAATGATGGAATTAGGAAGGGCAGAAAAGATTGTAAACTATTATGACCAGGACATGAACCATATTTTAATGAAGATTTAAATACCTTATGAGTTAAAATGTGATTTCAGTGAAGTTCAAAGGAAGGCCATTAAATATGTTTATGGGCCTCTGGAATAAATTGCTTTTAACTAAAGCTAATAAAATCCACATTTCCCTGAGAAGCTTAGATGTATGTGATATTGTGTACTGAATG